TCTTATTTCATTCATATAATTAATGTAATTTCTCATAGATACAAGAACATTAGATCTTTTAATTATATAATAGGTAATAACATAAAAATTAACATCAATTACTTATTTTATACACATTGTGGTACAACGATAAAGAAATCTTCAATTTTTTAATTATTACGGTAATTAACGACAAATTATTAATGTTCCTTTTCTTTTATATATATTTAATTTAGGTAAAATAATTTTGTAATACAAAGATATTTGAGCTGTGATAATTTTAAACATGGCGAATTACTTCAATTAATCGCGTTCTTTATCTAATCGCGTAATTGAGTTTTCACGTATAATCGGTATCGTTATGTCTGTTTTATCCGTCAATAAAACGAATGGATAGAACGGATAATGATAACGAAGATGTAATACGGGTTTATTGTCAAAACGATCTGTGAGCATCGCCATAGAAAAGCAATTCTCTGGAAGATTTAATGCGGTGTGTAGCTAATTTCTTGCACGCATGGTATTCGGTTTACTTCACCGTCTATTTTTGATGGCACTAGAGCGATCTGAAAATTTACTTCTGACAATGAGCATGTCTACATCATCTAATGAGAATATACAATTTAATTCTTATGATAATTGATAATTAAGGTGAATAATTAATGGCACTTGTACCAAAAGAAAATGCTTCCAATATTTCAAAATTTAAAACTGGATACTTCAGATATAATTGCAAATATTAATACGATGTTTCTTATTATATTCAATAAAAGAGTGATTCAATTTTTGATTTTAAATTCTTATAATATAATTAAGCAAACTGTACAAAAACACAGTGGTACATCATAGAAATAGTACGATCGGAATAGGTTAGAATGATCCAACATGTTGAGTGTTCTAAAAGATGTAAACTTATTTATAACAACTGGATTGATATTAAGTGGCATGGTAAATAAGATGTTACCTTTTTGTCTATTTTTCGTGGCATTAAAGTAATCTGAAAATTTCTTTTTGTCAATGAGTACAACTGCCATTGTCCAATTGAATACCGTGGAATATGTTGTAACTTCGGTAGAATAATAATTAATAATTCGATGAAATTTTTTCATGATATAGGTGACTTGTAAGATTCTCATGGAAATATATATTTTATAATTGTCGTTTCCAATTTTGTATTTTATGTAATATACATTATTGCAATATACATAATTAGCGAATCTTTCCTGTGATAGAGAAGAAGCGTAGACTCATTTTCTCGATTTAATTAATTCGTTTTTACAGCAGAAGTCATCGTAACGAACGTAGTCGTATAACAGTGGGTAATGAGGACCGCAATTAACGATTTGTGTAATTTACAGAAATTCCCTCGAATTCTGAAGTAGACTCATGTTCAGCTTCATCTTCCCGTTATCGATTATATCGCTTCTATTTGTACAAAATCTTCTTTATTAAACATTCGAACTTTTGGTTAATTTATTTTGATTATCGAAAGTTCCACGGACATTTACTTGGTCTATATCTTTCAACCAACTGAAAAAAATAAAAGATTAATAAAATTATTATACAACTAGATTATATAATTCTTACGTTATGATTCATCGGAATTTTAAGATTCATAGATCCACATAGATCCATAAAATTGCAATTACTAATAATTCAATAATTCAATAAGATTTCATTCGCAGAAAATATTAAATTTGCCACTTATTTATAATACGTTAATTGTACTATACGAATACTCACGCGACTTTACACTGGTCACACTAATGCTAGAAAGTCTCGTTTCACAAAGAATTCCCAATTCAGCCAAGATTTACAACACCTACCATTCCCTTGCTGGGAAGGTCGATAAAGGGGTCGCGGGGGAGTGTTGGAGAATGTGGGTGGATTTAAGCGGAGAGCATCGAAATTTATTCCGGAAATTCGCGCATGTACTGCTTTTGCCAACTTTCCAACGAAGCGTCGAATAACTGTATCCAATGCTATAGACACCACGCGGTAACGAGGCTATGTATTTCAGGTTACATATGTATCGTATAATGTCCATATATCTATGTGCCTATGAAAATAAAAATTCGCTTTATCTATCGATCCTCGCGCTCGTACGCGTACAATCACGATTCATTCGATCTTTCCAACCGCTTTTACTCGTGTTCATAACTTCTATGCGGTGAAACGACAAAACGATTGTTGTTTTTGTTACGTGCCAGCTTTTTACGTAGAAAAATGTACAGTTAGGTAGAGGTGTTTCAATGTTTGTTTGTCGTAGAAGAGGGTTGAAGATTCGATACCTATGCTTGGTTTAGGATCATTCTTTTATTCCATGTTTTTTCCTTAGGAAATTCTTCTTTCGTCCTTTTTCATTTTATGAAAAATTCTTTTTTATTTTGGGAAAGCTATGTAAAAATGGTTTACGATTAGATTAGCATTAATTTATATCTATATAATTCTAGAGAAAAGAACTAGTTCCAGGATTTTACCAGGTCAGTGTTACGGTATTAAAAATGTTTTTGCAGTTAGAATATTGAAATGAAAAAAAAATTCGGGAATAACGTAAAATGGAATTGTTTTTTTACGTGTTGAAAATAGTTTGCAACTCATAATGGTCGAACTTCTCTTTTTTAGGATATTTAATTTAATTTTCAGTTTTGTAAAACTCGCGAATAAAATGGAAACATTTAAGCATAGTAATCGTGTAAAAAATTTTAACTAGCAATGTATGATTTTAGGTGAACGTTTCCCGTGTACTAGGGAAAGCAAAAAAAGTATGTTCCACGAAAAAAAGAAGTACGAGTTGTTCCATCAGGAAACAACCACCATAAAATATTTGAAGTCAGCAGCCACGTAAAAATGGTCTAGAAATAGATTGAAGCTTCTGTGTAGTCAGAGGTAAAGCACTGAAAGGCAACCTCGAAATGAAAATCAATTTTAAAATGAATGAAAACTTACAAACAAAAGCGATACAAAGGATGAAATCGACGAAAGCGATAGGTTGTTTCTTTGTCCCATGATTCGACTGTATTTGCGTTCATGTATTCATTGCTCTTTTTCGTTCTATTTCACTTCTGAAACAAAATAATTCAATACAGTCCAAAGAAGAAAATTCTATCTTAAAATCAATCAGATTTCATGACTTACAAACTAAATGCTAATAATTGATTGAATGAATATTCTGTGATTATAATGATATTAATTGTAGTATATTTCGAAGATAAAAGAAATTTAATCGAGTTTTATAATGTGATTAAACACAGTGATTCATTAAATTATCGCCCTATAATTATAATAATATTGATTATAGTATATTTTAAAATTAACATATTCTCAACTACATGAATCACATATTACTAGGCGTTACTAGTAACTTTTCTAGAGGCATACTTCTACAAAATCATACAATTAAGAATTAGTAATGAGAAATTTAAAAAACGAGAGCTCTCATTATCTATCAGTATGTATTATAGAAAAATTTGTTGGAATCAGATATAAAAATATATAATATTATATTATATAGTGTTATAAATCATAATATATTATTATAAATAATAACGCAAAGTGTGAGAGATTTTATCGTATAATTTTCTGTGTTTATAGTAAAATTAATTTAGAACAACTTCTGAAGCAATCTATTCAAGTTCATCAGAGGGTGAATTGAAATGAAACGATTCAAAAATGTTATTAGAGGTACGCTTTGAACCATCATCGATTCTTGAAAGAAGGCAGCGATGCCTGACGAGTATCCACACGTTTATTATCTTTCTTCTCTTCGGTTCTTTACAGAACATGTTATGACATTGTGTTTGATTCAATAGGCGTTAACCGAGTGACCTGAATCTTGCCAACCGTATGGAACCTTATGTAATTTCTTTCTTTTTTTTTTCTTATAAAGATTACTTGGATCTTGTGCATCGATGGGGATGACATTCAAGTCCTATCTCCCAATGTAAGGACGTAATATCTGAAAGTAAATACACAAAAATAAGTATAAAAATTAAATTAATTATCTTAACAAACCTTAGCAAAATAATACAAAAAGTATATATACCAAAATAGCGATTAGAGAAATGTAAAAATGTAAATGTAATTATTAAATATATTTAATGTATCTGTTTACGGTGTGAGTAGAATAAGACCGTGTTAGGTCAGACCACACGATCCGCAACACGTGGCATTCCGTAAAATTTTATTCGTTAGAAGATCGATCGACATCATTTGGTCTGATTCTGTTGCAGATTCACTGTAATGTCCATGGGCAAATATTTGATTCGGCAGGTTTCAGTTTGCCATTCCTGTACGCTTATGTGTACAAAACCCAAGTACATAGCTGGTGCTTTAAATCCGTCATTTTACAACCACCTCCCATGAATCTGCTTCGTGCATTCGACTATCGTTCGTCCGCCGGATGTTTATGGAAGCCTTGCTTAACCCATATATGCAAATTACATGGCAACGAGCGCATATCTATGAAACATCACGAAGCATCGCTTTGAATTGTTCCAGCTGTAGGCTATTTGAACTGAAACATGTTCTAATATTCCCTTTTGATGTTGGATCCATACGAATTTTCATGAATATTCTTTCCGTTCTTTGAGAACATATGAAATACTTATTGCAAGATGTGGTTTTCTTTTCATTTTTTTAAATTTTGTACAGTGTTTTTTCGTGCGTTAAAATTTTGTTTGAGTTTTTCTACATGAAAGAAACAGAAAAGTTTAGTAAAAGTCCTGTTGTTTGAAACTTCGTTTACGAAATATAAAAGGTTTGAAGTAAATAAAATTTAAATTAAACATGCTAAAGTTTGAATTGCTTTTACCTTGAGAATGAGGTATTAGACAAACCAGTGGTAAAAACTTGTTAATTTAGCATAAAGATTTAGTGTGATTCTTTTTATATGTACCAGTTTATTCACTGTCTTATAACAGATTTAATTATCTTATACTCTCGTATAACTGTGAGAAATTGTATATCTTTATAAATGTTTCTTTGATCCTGGGTCTGATTAGTGATTTACCCTTTCTACTTTTAAAGTTAAAATTGAACTTCATCAATTCCTTCTTGATCATGTGTCAATTAAATTCATACAATTAATTTTCACTATCCACATATCTATATTAAATTAAATTTAGATAGATATATTTTAACCTTTATTTATCTATTTTTATATATTATATTCATTATGATCATTATAGCTCATCGTTCCACCGTATTTGCACATCTGTAAGATCTAAATAAATTTCATAATGAAGGGGAACATGAAGTAACTGTGGTGTGACTTTGGATGACCCAAGAGGAGAACACCTATCAAATCGGGAAAAAAAGGAATTTTGTCGAAAAAGAAACACTGGACTAACCACAAATGGCTACGCCGCCGGACTCACCAGGACCGGAAGAGGTTCTGTTCGACTTCGAGAGTACGCGAACCAGACAACAGACTACCAGGCCGGTTGCCCTCGAGGAGCTGCTTCGACAAACTAAGTTCTCCAGACAAGAAATACGAGTGATGTATCGTGGCTTCAAGCAGGTAAGATATCTTAAATAACGAATCTGAAAATACAGCTGATGATACAGAGTCGTGATTCCTGGAACAACAAATAAGGATGTGAGTCATTCTTGAGTGGTTTAGCCACTTCATTTCTCTCACTATGATTCCGAATCAAAATTTCATTTGTAAGTAGCAGAAAATAGCGTTAAATAAGGGTTTAATTAAATGTAATTAATAACATTAGAGATTTTTCATTCTTCATCAATATTATGCAATTCTATAATTTTCTGTACATTGATATTTTATTAGAAATACAGAGTAGAATTGACCTTATGAATTATTTTAAGTAATCATTAACTATACATTAATTAACTAAATCATTTTCCATTCTAGTTATTCCAGGAATCATAACTCATTTTGTATCGGCTTTCAAAGTTTGTTACCTCTCGACTTGACGTCAATTTGTAGCACGATGGAGTGCTAATGAATTCGTTTCATGAAGTCACTTAAGCCTTTGAAATAATACTTTACAAAGTAAAAATTCAATATATTGATAATTTTTAGTGAAATTAAATTGTCAAATTTTTAGTCAGACTTTTTGTAAAATTAACTATAATTCGTGACAGCTGTACTTTTTTAACCAGTTGACTGCATGTTTCTGGCTTGTCATCAATTTTCTTCATCATAATTTTATTTGCATGTATATTCATGAGAAGCGAAATCGTTGCTGTGGAACCTTATTTTGAATATCTCCTACTTCTCTCCGATTGTTCGTATGAAACATACGATGTTCATCTGAAAATATTCTTTGATGAATTAACAATTATTTCTTATATGTTGATTGTGGCAATTCATTATTTCTAATGTTTCTGGATGTAAATATTTTTTTGACGGACTAAATGATCAGTAATAGGAAGTAGACCAATGAAAACTTTGAAAACGAATTCTTAACGAAACTTTTAAAATTAGAGATCTTTTTTTTTCTTTAATTTACAGGATTTTATATTATATATATATTTTTTATATATATATATGCACATACAATAATGATCTCTCTTTAATCAGAGACGTTGTGTGTAAATACACGTAATACTTAAGATTTCCGTGACAAATATGACCTTGACGTGAAAACGAGGAACTACGCGCTTTATTTTCGCAACAAATGAGTTTTCGAGGCTTAAAAGTGGAATATAACCTGCAATTCCAGACCCGCGTCACTCGTAAAATATTTACATAGCGTTTGGAGGGTAGTAGTTCCTCTTCGAACTGAGTTTTCTTCAAGGTTGATGTTGTTTCTATATAAATGTCGGAGGTGTATGTTCTACAGGTCAATACGATAGTTCAAAATGCTTGTTGTTCTAATTCGAAGGTTGAGGCCTGGATTACTGCGTTTTTTATGTTAGTTGCACTAGCTGATCGCATGAAATTTTACTATTTAAAGTTCTGATGTAGATAATTTATGTAGGAGAAGAAAGTCAAAATCAAACCACGTCCAAAAACCTAAAACTAGAAATTTGTTTGATATTTTTAATATCGTAATATCATAAACGAGATATAATTTTAAGTGCACGAATATAATGTTAGAATTTTATAATGCATTGTAAGTTTATAAAATAAAATATTTAAAACCATATTAATATAATTAGAAAAATGAGTATTTAATAAAGTAATCTCTCTTATCTTAATTTTCTAATTTATTAATTTCATGAGAAAGTAGAAATTATTTTTGGCTATCTTTCAAGAAATATTCTCCAAAGTCACTATTGTTCCCTTTCTTTTACTTGGCAAACAGAACATTTTACTTGGAAGAAACAGTACTCGATATCGAGTACTTCCTTTTCGACTAATTTTTTAAATGTTTGGACGTTCGAAGTCACTTACCTACGTTTCCTTTATTGAGAATATAACTTTGTACGAACAAATGAGTTTCGAACTGTGGCAAAACCACCTGTACGTTCCGCGGTAATTTGTCGAGTTTAGAACTTTCTATTCTTCAACCAGGATTTACCCATATTGCACGATGTCTGTCTCATTTGGACAAACCTAGTAAATTGAACGTATTATTCTTGCTGAAAGAAACATTTTCGGTGATGTAACATTATTAAATTTTCCACTTCGTGAATTAACTTTAATTAGTACAAATAAAATTTTCATAAGATATATAAAAATAATTTACATACATAGTGCCAGAAATTTCGAAAAAGTAACTTTCTAGTCATCTTTTTATCTATTCGTCTTCTTTCTCTTTTTCATAATTTAGAAATATTCAAGAAAAAAATAATAAAAATTGAATATTGTCTCACGAATGTATGCCTATTAACAATATCAATAAAATTCCTATTACTTTCTGCCTCAAAGCTGCGAATATTTTTACGCATTAATACGGATCCTCAGCTCAATTAATAGCAGATAAAAGTCAGCAACGGTCCAAACGCTTCAGTTTTCGATAGCCGTCGATAAAGATAGCTAGGACAAGCTAGACAATGAAGGGACGGTTTGTCGCCTGGCACAGTCAATATTACTCGAGGACCGTCGCGGATCTCTATTTTAACACGTTTCCACGTGGTTTAATTTTCACTGGTGCAATCAACTTCCTAAATCGAGCAAAAAACCTCTTTGTAGCATACAATATGTCAACACATTGAAATTGGCACATCTCGAATCGACAAGCGCGATCGATTGATTGATCGACGTATCTCTAGTTGTTTCACAGATGGCGTAAGATGAATGAAAGTGGATAAGCGTGTACAGATAAAACTCTTGTTATTCGTATACCAATGATCAAAGCCGTAGACACAATGTGGTAGTTTTGACGTGTGCGGCTTTTAACTACAGTTTTTTTTCACAACTAAACACACATATACTAGATATCGATCCGGGTTTTATGCTCTTGCCAGCCTAGAAGTATGTCACGAGGATTACTATTTTGCGAGACGCCGTAAAATTTTGGAACAGTGCTAAAAATTTCGGAACAGACGGATGGAGTGACTTTCAATCATCCATTTCATTACAAAAAGTAAAATAAGGAATATATAACAGAGGTTAGTGAAATATTCTTTGGAAAAACTGACTTATTATCAGGAACATTAATTTTGATGTGAAAATAAATCAAATGTGATAAATGAGGTTAATCATTAGAAATGCCCAATTATAATGTATTGTGTATTATAATTGTGTTTTTCAATGACATCTTTAAAAATAGTCTTTATGTATCGAAATATTTGTTTCTATTCGTCGTTTTCAACAATAGATTATTTGAAAGATAACCTGTGCGTATAGCATTTATCATATTTCAAGCAAACTTTTTTCAAGTTTGTTTTAATCTTATAATATCAAAGGAGAGACTTAAGTGTGTATTCTTAATTAAAAGAGAATTGAATTAAAAATGAAAGAATTAAGCTGGTTGAATAGGGTTATTTATTTTTTCGTTACATAGATTCGTTGAAAAGATCGAAAGGTTGAATATCGTAAGTACATTTGTCGCAGTCACTCGTGGACGAGCACTTACACCTGACGTAAAACTGAAAGCCTCGAGACCTGGAACGGTTTGTGTGTATGGCGAAAAAGCTTGGACTTTTCGAGAGTTCCTTGGGTGTTTTAATTGCGCTATTTCGCTACTATACGCTTGCCACTTGAGCCTTTAAGACTGGCAATTGTGTCAAGAGCATGCGTTTGCATGGCGATAAAAATGCGCATGCAAAGTATCATGAGTATATGCGCGGTATATTATTAACATAGGTTATGTCCACACATGTTAAGTTTCTGATACAAAAAAATATATATTTTTTAATAGATTAATAACATTTAATAACATTAAATCAACTCAAAATGTATTTTAAATTACCAGGTGAAAATATTCCGTTTATTATAAAATTGTATTTCTAATTACATAATATTTTTATCCACTAAAATTCTTGTTTCAGTTATCATTTCGTTACCATATTCTCAAAAAACTGAACAAAGCCACGGTTATCATGGTAAGTTTTTAAAGAGTATTACATCTAAAAACGAAGTATCCATACTTCATCTTCTCGGAAGAATGTACCGCAAAGCATCGAATTTATTTTCCTCCATGGCATTGATGTATGGTTAGCTAGCAAACAGGTCCGATATTCTCTATTCTGTGGCCCCTTTGTCACAGCTATCGAAGAAGCACAGCATAGCCTCATTGTTTCCCTTCTTCTTTCTCTCGATCTTGAAGCTGGAGGACAGAAGTCTTTTTTCCTTTTTTTCAATGGAAGCGTAAAGGTTAGGCGAGCGTTAGCACGCTCGTCCTATTGAACTCGATTCTATTTAAGGGAGTATGGCAGGAGAGAGCGTGTCGGTGTGTCGGTATCTAGTGGAAATCGAAGAAGGCCGACACCAGAGGCCACGCCGAGGCCAGGACCTTGACGTTTAGGAAAATTGTAAGGATTTAGGCTCACGTATAGCCACACGCACGAAGGTCGATTGGATAGATGAACTCCTCATGAAGTTGTCAATTTCTAATTTGGATGAACCTTCGAACTTTCACGCATCACTCTGACCTATTCTAGGTACCCCATCGTTGGATAATCAGGCTTTACTTGGTTTGCATGGGGTAAATTGATGCATATTTTCTTTCGTTGATAGTAGATAACGTTCGGAACGACTGAACCTGAAGAAAGTCAAATTGGAATCATAAAGAATACTACTTAAATATGTGTCAATATTTTGGTAAACGAGTTTGAATAATTCTACATTTCTACAAATAAATGTTTATAAAAAAGGTGAAAAGGTAGGATTTCATTTTAAATTATTAATTTCTTTTTTTAAATTATTAAACAGTATTCGTAAAAGAATCAGATTGAGAATACATTGACTGGTTATGGAATATTTCTTACAGGGTAAAAACGAATTTCGACTTGTTCTTTCTATCTAATGTAAAAAGAAGAACGACGTCGTAAGTATAGGTTAACGAGAACTATAAGTTGAGTGGCTCTTCACTGAAGAATCCAGCGTTTCTAGAACCCACTAGTCTCTTCTCAATTCAGTTTGCTCCATCGTTTTATGGAATAGTT